TAAATATCCTGAGTCTCTAGTCGCCAGTGATGTATTGTCTAGACATCCAGCATCTACCATGTTCCAGGCACTGTGCTGGGCACTGGATATTCACATATAAGACAGTGTCTCTGCCGTCAAAGTGTACAGGATCTACTAAGGGAGGAATTTCAGTTAACTAGAAGTTATGAGCTAGATGGAAAATACTGTGTAGAAGAACGCATGGCATGCTACGGACAGCAAAGGAGGAGCCCTTAACATCTTGGAAAGGCAAAAATTTGTCATGGAAGGATTACCAGACAAGGACACTCTCTCTACCCAGAGAAAGGGTAAAAAAAGTATGCCAGAAGGATAAGTGGAGAAAGGAGTTAAATATTCTGTGCAAGGGCAGGGATATATAACAAGCACAACACTGTGTGGTTGTGTAAGATATGTAGGTGATTTCTTGTTGCATCCAAAATGATTTTAGATCTAGCATTAAAAATAACATTGACTAAAACTGTAGAAGTAACTCCCTGTCCACTCTCTCTCTCAATCCTGGTTAACTCAAGGAATAAATCTTTCTGTGTTTCTGAATATATTTCCAATTTCTCTAACACTTGCTGATCTCCCTTTTGCTCAAATGGAGGACAGGTTTCAGCTCAGATACTTTAGCAGGCAACGGTATCTTCTTAGAACTTAATTACATTGTTTTATTTTTATTGTATTTAATTTTACAGCTTTATTTTTATTATGGCAACTGATTGCACTTTTCCATTCACAGCACTGATACAAAGTTTCATTTGAAATGACTTTATTTCAGTTAATAACGCAATCAATTGAGAAAAAACAATATGCAAAAAATAATACAGGTGGTACATGAATATGGTGATAATCATGAAGTTGGTATGTCAATGACTAGAGTTTGATAAACATTGGTGTAGTGTGTTTGGGAAATAGAAAATCATAAGATGGAGTGAAGGATGAGAGTGAGAGACAAGCTGGAAGAGTTCGGCAGAAGCCAGCCTGTGAAGAGAATTCTATGTCAGGTCAAGGAGTTAAGCTTCATGAGGAGCCTTAGAAGGGTTATAACCAGGAGAATGGCCTGATAAAATTTGCAAGTTAGAAAGAACCTTCTAGAATGTGAAGGATGGCCCCGAGTTGCTGAAGGAAGCAGAACAGTTAGTAGGCTAATGGGGCCCAGTGGGAGATGATGAGGGCATGAGCAAGGGTGCAAGCCATGGGGCCCTGAGGGCGAGGAGGGACGTGTTAGACTTATCAGTGGTACAATCACCATTGTCACCAATTAGAAGTGGAGGGAGAAATCTAGAATATTGCTCAGGTTCTGGCTTGCTCAGTGGGTGCCATGTGGCTCAACCGGGTGGGGGATATTTTCCCTTAGTTGCTCCGTTGCTTGATAACTGGCATGATTTTGACCCTGAGTGAAACCCTAAATCTGCATTAACAGCTTGATAGGAAGGGTCCAAGGTTCTTTCCCTCACATCCTTGGCTAGAGGTCTAATTCCTCAGGCAAACAGAGCAGAACTCAAATGTGTGGTGGAGTTAGCATCTCTTTGTGTTGTGAAAGAGTTTAGGGTCAAGAAAATAATGGAAAAGATGTATTGCCCTCTGACTCTGCCCCTAAAATTTTCTAAAGGGCCTACAACAAATCAAGGAAGACTTCCTAGTTTAATAAAATTACTTTAAATCCTAAACTCCATAATTTCTGACTGACTTTCTGTTCAAAGTGTGAATTTATATGATCCTATGACTTGAAATCAGAGGTATCAGTGCAGGAATGAGAAGGGCTGTAAAGTAAGCAGCTACTAAAGGAAGTCTTTATTTTGCAAAAGAAAAAAACAGTTACTCTGAGGGGAAGATGTCATCTTTGTGGCAAGTTCTTATATGAGGGTAGAATCATCTCATAATTGGAAGGAACCTGGTTAGTGGGATTTAAGTTTGGAACAAGTGGCTCTCATACATGTCATTTTCCCTTTTCCCGTTCTTCATGGTGGAGAGAGTCTAGGATCCAATGGAAAATTGTCTGTTTTGTTACTTTATTAATTGCTAAAGTACACACTAATGAAGACCCTTCTTCTGAAGAAGATGAAAAGTTGACTTTAGGCTCAACTGTGAGAAACTAGAAAGGCTCTAGAAAACTACCTCAGCCTGAATTCCCTAAGCTCTGGGAGGCTCTCAAAGTATATTATGTCTAGAGAAGGGCTCAAGCGCTTCTCAAGCGCTTGCTTAACTCATGATGATAACTAATAATTAACAGAATACAAAGTTTACAACTAGATTACTTTTTTAAAAAATTAAGAAAATTTCCTTATGTATTACTTTTATAGGGAGCTAGAGTTAGGATTATTTTCAGTAAAATACATTTTTATTTAAATGAAGGATAATATATAGACAATTATATTAGACTCTCTTGCCATTAACAATATAACTATATTAACTATACCGCAAGCCTGACCTGATGGTGGATTTCATGAGACCAAGTCACCCACCACCCTTGATGTAGGATGAAGTTTTAAGGGATTGAATCCAAAAAGTTGAAATCTATAAGTCATCCATTGCTTCATACCCAGGAAGAGATAAGAGAATCCTGTTTTATACATGGCGTGAAGAGTGGGTAGAACCTGGGGATTATTGGATAGGTAATGAGAGTGGGTGATCAACATCCATAAGCAATGTGGTTTCTTAAATCTAGGAGTTCATCTGAGACCTGACTCATCTAATTTTGTCACTTTGCAGACATTTGCCTGGATTATAGTTTTTTAAGGAAATGGAATATGTCTGAACATCCTGGGTATAAACTAAGGCAAATGGGAGTGCACAGATATCCCATCAATTTGGGACCATTTTTTGTTTGTTTTACTAGATGTTTGCAATGAACTTTGAAGGTGGTATCATGAAAACTCTAGAGTCATGTTTCAGTAAATTTCTGTGAAATTATAATGAAACATTAATGGAATAAGCCAGTAAATGTTAGGGAGTTGCTGTGAAATGGCGTGGCTATGCAAGAAGAAAACTTATAAAATACATGAAGAACTTACTTAAGCTGCAACTTTAAATGCTGTTTAGTGATTATGCTGTTCAACAGACAGTTGTTATTAAAAAAGGAATTTTCTTATTGGCATTAGATTGGAGAAATGATAAAATATGTTTATTTGACTAACTTGTGCCATGTAGAGTGTGTCCTTGGAATGGAGAAACTTAGATTCCAAAACTTAAGAACCTGGAGGGGAAGAAACAAATGGAAAGTAGCACTTGAATACTCACTATGTGCTACACATGGTCTGACTTCCTGACATGTGTCCAAATGTAATCCTCACTAAACCACAGCCTTGTCAAGCCACTTGGATTCTCATATTAAAGGTCAGGAAATAAACTTAAGGGAGGAAGTTGTCCCAATTCACAAAGCTGCTAAGTGGTGGGGACAGTGCTTGGACTGCAAAGCCACTCCTCTTTTCACTGCAGGATTCTACCTACATGTTGAGATTGTGAATTCATTCCCACGACTACACTTCATTTCCTTAGAAAGCAACGTGTAGGGAAAGGTGCATAGAGTCACTAAGCCAAGCATACTGGGTTCTAGAGTAATTCTAAATCAAAGCCAGAGAGGCTCATATTCTTTCAAATAGAAACTTGGATTTGGTGGTAACTTGTACTGTACATGTAATGAAAGGCTTGTTTGTGCTTGGGTCAGGGGAAGGGAGGAGTACAATCGATAGAAACAGGGTTGTGATCAGAAAACCTGGGTACAAGTATTATTTCTGCAACTCACTCAATGTGTAGCTCCAGGAAAGATTTTTAACCTCTCTGAGCCTAAATTTTCCTCATTATTTATCATATCAACATCCCATAGGGGTAAGAGAATAAAAAAGAGATAAAGGATGTTTTAAGCCATAAAATATTATAAAATGTGATTGATATTTAATAGTTTATTTCTCCGCCTATGAGCAAATTCTATGCATAAGCTATTAAAGATATTTACATCTACAAAGGTAATATTCTCCAGCCTCTTTGACATGTTGTGGTGTGGATGTTTCCTCCATCAATTTCTGTCCCAATAAGTCCATTTGAAGGGGGAGGATTAGAAAAAGATCCTGGTGGAACTCTTACCCCATTCTGTGTCTCCTCTTTAGGAAGTACTGATCTCTCTCTCCTGGTCAGTTTTTAAAAAGATCAAGTGGATCATGATGGGTTTCCTCCAGGTAACAACATCCTTTTCCTACTCCCCTGGTGGCTGACGTTTGAGAGCTCACTGATGTTCAAAACCAACAGGTCACCAGAGAAATTCAACACTGCAGTTCCAGGATGTCAACAGGAGCCCAGAGTTACATGCGGAGTTGGGCCTGACTAATCTGTCCAGCAACAGCTTCAAAGGTTAAGAATACTGCTGCTTCCTTTAGCAGCAGGATGGTTTGTCTCTTCATAAGCTAAAAGCATTTCTATTTCTTACCAAATTAATCTTTTAGAGTAATAGTTTTCATAATTTATGTTATTCCATCCATTTTAGAAAGGGCAAGCCAGAGATAGAGTGGAAAAGGATTCACATGAGATCATCAAAAATTTCCACTCCTTCCAGCATTCTCAATCTCTACATTTCAGAACTGCCTCACTTCACCCCGAAGCCCTGACATCAAGTCCTCTTGTCATTCTTCATCGGGAAAGACAGCAAAGAAATCTAATGCTGGGGAAGACATTAGGCTGGAAAGACAGATTGTTTGCTCGTTTGCAGAGCTGGCTTGGGTTTGACATTCAAGTCTACATGGTTGAAGTGACTAGAGAGTTGTAATATTTACCTAGATACTTAATTTGGCTTTACATGAATCTTCACTCTCTCCCTACCGCCTTCCACCACACATGCTTCTGCCTCAAAGATCACTATGTTTTAGGTACCTGATTTTAACCTAATTACTAAGATAGCTGCCTATTGTTTTCAGTTTGGGGGATGGACAAAGCCTCAGCTTAAACTTGAAGAGACAGGGAAGTGTCTCACTCTTTAATTTTGAAATATTCTGTGCATTCCTTGATTTGCTGAATGGCCGGTTGGCTGGATGGGTCAAGTGAAAGAGTGTGGTGACTTCAGGATAGTATGTGTTATGAGTCTGTGTGTGTGTGTATGTGTGTGTGTGTGTGTGTGTGTGTGTGTGTGTGTGTGTGCGTAAACCAGAGTTGACACAAATATGAGGATTCTGAATAGTTTTGAAAAGTCAGGCATATATCACAGTCAAAGGCCACTATTTGAACCTCCTAGACATCCAGACTGTTTTAGAAATGACTCGAAGGGAGCTTCACTAGGTCATAGGAATCATGTACGTACATGGAGGTGGACTTCGGTGAGAAGCCTTAAATTACCCTCAAACTCCAAAGGAGGCCTCTGTGAACCCCAAAGGATTGCTGACCTCTTATCCTATCTAGAATAATGAGTAAAATGCTTGAAATATATAAAAAGTACCACCCATGCAAATATCTATGTGTTAAAATATGGCTTTTGTTCAGGCTAATTTCAATAAGAAAAGTAATATCCTCATTTCTACGACTAAGTCTTAGAATGTGGAAAATGTCTCATGCATAGGCCCTTCCCTGAGCAGTAAGATAGGCATTTAGTCTGATTTACTGACAGAATGAGGGGAAGAACTCAAGTTAGCCTTATCTTCTCTTAAAACAGTGAATCAATGAATTATGAGCCTGATGGAAAATAAATTCACTGAAGCTATGGGAAAGCTTAGCACGGCCAGCTTCTCACTGGCTGCCTTTTAGGCCATGGTAGCCATAGACCACACGAATCATGACAACAGGTTTTCCTCTCACGACTGCACGGGATTGCCACACTGACATTTCCAGTAGTCTGCAGAGGTTCCTTGCTGTCACTACAGAACACGTTAACAACCAGGATCCAGGCAATCATGCCTTAAAATGTCCTCTCTGATATGTTGTTATTTATGGGGTAGGGGGCAGAAAATATCATATGGCTTGGTTGTGGCCCCTTCAACAAGGAATACAGTGGTAAGCAGATTCGGTAGGCAGAAGACTATTCAAGAATAGGCAGTGTGGCAAAAGCAACAGACAGACAAGATGATCATAGGGTCCATCGAACACATTCCGAAATTAGCACAGCTGTCACAGTAAGATGAAAGGTGCTGCTCTAACAGACTGAATCATTAGTCTGCTGAGCAACACTCCCAGGTCTCCACAGAGAAGCGTTTTTATTGCAGTATGTCTTTCATGGAAAATGAACAAAACTTTAAATAAATCACAATTACTTATTGCTTAGTATTTTGGATAATAAATTCTTTAGTTTATCAGTACCTCACGGCCTTCAAATGTGCATTCTTCAAATAGTTTCAATTACATATACATTCTTTCTCCTGAACAATAAATTATTCTTAAAAAAAAAAAGAAAAAGGAAAAGATACATAATTTTAAAGCAAAGAAAAACAAAAAAACATATATTTTTGACATTTATCTTAAACTTATATGAAAACAACTCTATGTTAGATGCTTAAATATAAATAATAAAGGACATTATGTTATTTACAATGTTACACAGTAAGTTGACAGGGTAAAAAACTGACATTAACTCATAAAGACAGTGAATGATTTAGGAAAACATCCAAGTAATGTACAACGTGTATTTACAAAAGAATATATAATAGAACTTGTGATATGTGGCCATTTCTTTTTGTCTGCATTTCTCTGCAGTGGTTCATGGGTCTTTGTGGATAGAAATCTCTGTGGCTGGTGGAACACAGCCAGTACTCAAAGGTAAAACCAGGCCTCCCTTATTTTCACCAATGTGAGCCATGCACCTTTCAACCCAAGCCAAAAAAAGGAATATTTACCGAGCAAGTTACCCTGGATAAACTCCACTTATATCAAGACAGTCATACTTACACGGGAAAGATATGGTATGTTGGTTTTTGGGACACATTCACATATACCCAGGCAGAACGTCATTTTGTAGAAAGTAAGAGGCTGTACAATCACTCTTGAAAAAAAAGGCATGCCAGGCAATAAAGGAGAGTAGGACAGAAAAGGAATCTTAAGTGAGAAAAAGGAGTTTTGCATATACTATGCCCCACTGCATACCCCTCAGTGGGATATGATTTCAGACCCAGGAAACAAAGTTGCTGACAAACTTCTGGACAATTTCTACTACCTGAAAACTCATGAAAACTTTCCATCTGCTGAGAACATAGGTTCCTTCTCCTTCTTTGAATTGCCTCTGCACTGCCTGAGTTTATAAACAGGGATGGTTGAGAGCAATATGGCAATTGAACATCACACAGGTGTCCCTGTGAACACAAATCTGGCAGCCACAGCAGGTAGCCATGAGGAGTCAGCTGGCCTTTGCTATCAAGGGAATCTCTTGTTCTATGAATGGAAAAGCTGTCCCAACTAATACGACACCTCTGTGAATGACCAGAAGAAAGTTGGAGATAAAATTTCCTCTTGTCCTAAATTTGCATATATTTTTGCAACCTGAAAATTGAAAGCAATTTTCATACTGAGGAAAATGTTCATTGCTCTCAACAGAAGATTTTTTTATTTCTGAAATTCTCCAGAATGGGACATTTGTATAGTCCAATGCCTGAAGAATTTGAAACAGAAATTTTAAACTTTTAATTAATAGTAGGAATTTTTTTGTTGAAGCAGCCTAAGACTGTGTCAAGGCCTTCAAAGGCAATATGAGAATAACTTAGAGGATCTCTTTGGGTTGACTGTCTTCTTCTCTGCCATGAGCTTACTCATTTCTACAGAACTGGGCAATCAGTGCAGCTTGTGCAGCCTGACAGGGGCTCCTCAGTGTAGGTTAACAAGCAAATGAGGACACTGCCGAGCACAGAGAAAGTGGTATGTGAACATGAAGGACAGCTTGGGATACCAAATACTAAGAGTAACTTCAAGGACCTGCAGACAGGCATCTCTGTGGATTGTGGAAACAGTTAGGAGCTTAATGACATGACTCATGCCCAGCCTGCATTTTTCTTTTAAGACTTCTTTGCATCTCATGTCTTCCCTTTAATTTTAACAGAGAGATCTGGTGAAGAAATAGATTCAGTTCACCTGCAAACAAGAAGCAGTTACTCTCACTGACCTCATGCCTGGTATGTTGAAGCCCCTGCTAATGTGTTTCCCAGTTTGTCCCATGGCTCCTAGGAGGCCACTGGGAACCTAAGGAAAGCTCCAGACTGATTTGACAGATATCAGGCAGGGTATGGAATGGGTCCTGCATTTTTAAAAAAATCCTCTTATTTTCCTGAATTAGCAGCTATTTCAAATGTTAATACCTATAGGCCTTCCTTGGATTTACAATCACAAGAGAACATGCAAAGCTTAGACCCATCTTAGTCCTGTTTTGTGGCAATAAAGTAAAAAGTAAGAAAGGGGGAAAATGGGTGATTCAGGCTGCAGACTGAATGGTCAGGACACAGGTGGGGGTCATTTCTGCAAGGAAAGGTGCAATCTTTCCTACACTATTGACATTTCCTGTTGAATCATCACGCGTGGAAATTTCTTACTAATCACAAATCAGGTGCACGTTGGCCGTTCCTGCCAGAAACGTTCATGCACAGTTATGACCTAATCAAGGCAACATTGAAAAATAAGAGAAAACTAGTGAGGAGAAAAGAGTGGTCAACAAAACTATTTAAAATTGCAACCGAGTCACACAGCTGCTCTCTGCTTGTGTCTTCTACTCATTCACTACTTCTAGACACTCTACGATGGAGACATTTCCCTACTGTGACAAGTCACCACCATGGACAGCAGGCACATTTCACTCTAGACATATTTCAGACAAATGGCAGAGTATGCTGTTTAAGCTGGGGTTTTGTGCCATCACGTGTCTGTTCTTGAGCTGAGAAGGCACAACCAATCACGAGCTCCCAAATCAGTGAAAAACACAAGTCAGGAATGATTGCACCTTTTTTTCAGCCATGGTTTGATCTTCACCTAGATGACTGGCTGTGCCATTCCCCCGGAGAGAAAATTAAATTGAGTCCTCTCATAAGATGTTGGGTTTACCCCCATAGCAAGCCAAACCCATTTTCTATGCTATCCCCAAAACTGTTGCTTTTTGTCAAGAAAAATAAATCAAAATAAAGTAAATGGTAGCTCCTTTTAGTGAGAGCAAGCTGTCTTCTGATTAATAATATAGTTTTTAAAAAATCACGATATTACTTTCTTCCTAATATTTAACATTACTTAATGCAGTTTCCTGCTGTAATTAATAGTAGCATGCTGTTGGATCTACTATTATCTCAGAGCCCAATGAAGCAAACCTTTGGCTGGCAGAGTAGACACAACTCATTTCATACACTGAAGGCGAAAGAAAACTTCACACAAAAGAGAAGAGTATTTGGATGGGTGTGTCATTACAGGATGTACTGACTGGGGGCTACTGTAAGCAAACGGACAGTTGCAAGTCTTGCAAATCATACATCCAGTCAACATCATAATGCAATGCACAAGAAGCCAGCAAAAACTGAATCGATGGGAGGTTTTGCTAAAATACTGTGGAAAAGCAAACACGGTAACTGTACAAAACTTGCTCTTGACATAACGTAACAGAAAGGCACCATTGATATCTTTCTTGTTTTGAAATACTGTAAAAAATTGCTACATATGGCACATAACACATTTTTACATACATATATTTAATTTATAAAAGTTTTTTTTCCTGTTTTCTATTTGCAGAACTGCTAAAATAAAATAAATTGTTTAATTTAAGGTGGAATACTTTATTATATAAAATAAAGTTTTACAGGTGACTCTATGTGTTTATTTAGGTTTTATACAGCAATAGGGTCTTGGTTAGCGATTACACTAGACAGCCTGGCCTGCAATTCTTCCTGTGTAGAGAAGCGGCCTGCTGGGTTAGTCCTGCTGTCAGCCAGGCGGAAGGCAGGTGCTGCCTCAACACTGGCTGCCAGGGGGTTCTGTATGCCCAGGAAAGGTGTATCTTCACCTACTCTTTCATCTTCTGTTTCACTCTCTGAGTTACTGCTCTCAGCGCTTGTGTTGCTGTCCATTTCCAACCTGTTGGCAATGTGGCCATTGGGCTTGGTTCTTTTGGCCCGCCGGCTATTGGTGAGTTTCTTAACAGGCTCTTGAGCTGGCTCGTACTCCTGGGTCGTTTCATACTCCTCATCCTCCACTATCCTCAAGGGGCTAGGGGGCAGGCTGTTGCTCTCATGCGCGGGGTTGTGGTGGAAGGAGTTGAATTGCTGAGGGTGATGGTCATACTTCTCCCGCAGCCTTGGTGGGGTCACGAGAAGTAGAGGTCTCTCTTCTTCCACGAAGGGGCTGACTGCCATGGAGGGCATGGACACCGTCGTGCTGGACACAGGTGGAGACATTTCCGAAGGGGGTGATTTGGGGGAGCTTGGCGTGTGGAAATCTACAGGTGACATACGAGCCGGGGTGGTCATTGCTGACACATACCTGTGTAAGCACAGAATACCCGGCGTTAAGTGTGATGGAATAAAAAGCATAGAGCAGGGAGGGTAAGGGGATAGAGTTCATGATATTACATAATCAGAGAACAAAGAATTTCCATTCATTGTATATGTCTCAATTTTTAGACTAGGACATCCACACCCTTGGAATCTAAAATTATGTAGCCAAGAGTTTCCTTACAGAAATACATGCAAAGATCAGCTAAATTTCCTAGCTCATCAAAGCTTTTGGGATTTTCAATTTCATCATGATTTTAAATAAAAGCATGTGAGTTAAGACAAGAGGCCACCAGGTCCTGGAAACCTCTCAGTTTATAAGGACCAAAGCTCAGGGATTTGGAAGGGAAAGAAGTATTACTTAAATACTATACCTTCCTAAAGGCCAAGGGGTCTTAGAGAATGAAGCCCAAATGGGGAATGGAAGAAGATCTAAGATGAGTTGCTGATAGCTGGATCTGCATGCATTTGGATCTGTGTGCCTTGTTTCTCCTTAGCTCAGCTATAAGGTTATGTCTTATGAAAAAAAAAGAGCATAGTAACTTAGATTTATTCCTGATAACAGTGTAACACATTTGTGTGCTTTTAATTTTTCCATGAAATGCTACTTCTTAACATTCAGTTTGCAACTCTTCATTCCAGTGACCAAGACATTCAAAGATAAGTCTGAGAGAACCGGTTTTCATGTTTAATCTCTGGTCTACCTCTCTTCCAAAATCCATGGCTGCATCAGTCTTTGGCTTTCTTTTGTGACGCCCCAAGGGTTGGCTGGACCATGTTACACTATGTCATGTTATGTCTGATAATGCTTAGTGAATCTCACTGTCAAGACATTGAATGCATCTTCACCATATCATACTTTCTTCCCCCAGAACAAGAAGACCTGACTTGGCACTGAGGAAGATGTGGCTTATTCAGAGTCATATTCCTCAGCTTTGATAAAAATGTTACCGATGTATAACACTAAAGGACTCTTTTCTTCACGTAGGCATTCACAGAGTCTAATTTGACATGACCTGCAATGACACAGGACACCATTGTCTGAATTCTAGCTAACAGGAACAGGAAACCTATTAACTTTCTTGCTTTTCAGCCATGATTCAGAGTCATATGGAGGTGAGATCTAGCTGTGTCTAAAATAGGAAAGTGTCTAGAGACTGAACTATTTGGGGCTCGAGGCCTCAGACTTTTTGCTTTGGGGATACTTAAGCTCTCAGAGAAATGCTAATCCAAATTCAGCCAACACATAAAAGGCATTCATCTTTTCTCTTCTTGATCTTTAGGTTCAGGTATATTTCGCAGTCCTAGATAATATCTGGGGTGTGCAAAGAAGCCTACCACAGCAGGGAAATGTCAGTCTTTAAAGATAAACATTACATGTAGAGCTGAAGAAGGAATTTCTCCTTAATTTCTTTTTCAGGTTTCAAAACAGATTGAATTAGGACAGATAGACTTCCTTAATACACAAAGATATAACTATATGAATTTAAGACTAATGTTTTAAACCAGCTTGGGACCATGCCTACTTTTTCATAGATGAGTTACAGAGCAACCTCTAATTCCATAAAGCTCTGAAACACCATTTGGGGTAAAGACCCTTGAAGAAGTGATCTGCAGGCTCTATATGACCTGCAAGCCCAGAACTATTCATCCTTTGTTGTAAGTACTTCCCAGTCCATGAGTGTAAAGAGTCTATCAAAATGATCTCCAACCATGTAACTATCAAATAAGTATGGATTCAACACTATGTAAACCTTTTAGCAAGTGGTCAAAGATTAGACTGAGATGACAACAAAGAAAAAACCAAACGAACAAAACTCCACTGGATTTGAAAACAAGCAGCTAACAGCTTACTGATGTGCTAGAAATGCTGATTGGTAGGACTCTCCCAGTTTAGGTGAAAATGGATAAAGAGGATCTGTGAATTCAGCAGTCCTATTAAACATCTCTTTTAGTTTACTTTCTTCTGTTCTTCATTTTACCTTTCCTATAACTCCCCCAACCCAACCCAATATCCCTAGAAGAAAACCAAAACATTCTAGAATATAGGGCCATATCAAAGTCAATATTTGCTTTGAAAACCACCTGTGAAGACTGCCACACTCAGCACACAAAATATTTATTTATTCATCCCTTCTTGGAAATTCATAAAAGGGATACTATATGGTGGAACACACATGGTTGTTCCCCTTGACAGCCAGCAATGACATAGCCCTCAACTTGATTTAACTGAGGCTGGAAGGTAAGAAAGAGTTAGCACAGGAGAACATGAGGCCAGCTTGACCAGTGTTTGGATAACTGGCAAATTGGAATTATAGAAAAGTCCTTATCAATCATTAATCCCATCTCTCTAAAGTTACAACTGAGGAAACTGAGACCTTGAGTGGGTCTGAGCCTAAGGTCAGAGCTTGGAATTCCAAGTTTGCTGCACCTTCCACATCAAATCACTCCAGCTCTTTAAGAGTTTGTTGCCTGTCAGCCACTGGGACGATGCGAGAAACTCAGAAGAAATGAGTTCAGTCAAACAAAAAGATGACTTCATCAACTAGAAGCGCTCCTAGAACAGGGAACTGTTGCCCCTTATTCTCATTAGAGAAGACTTCCTTAGGTGAGACCGCAGGTGCTCACGGGGATTCTTTTACTGGGGTTCTTTCTCCTCTGCAGTAGCTTTGCCCCTTCCGTTTTACCTTTCACTATGAGGAGAGTCTCGGTAGGAGTCAGGGGTTTCTCTGGCATGCCTGAGGAAGCTGTTACATTCACGAGGGCCTCCCATGCCATTAAGCCGTCCTCTTGGGCCCCCCGTTGGGCTGCTGTGCCTACTGTTTTCTACTGATGACATCATGATTACAGAGTGGCTTTCCGAAATGATGCTTTCAGTGTGCCCATTGCTCCAGCTAGAGGGGAAATGTGAGAGGCAACGAGATTTAAAATATATATATATATATATATATACACACACATACAGAAAAATGGAAATGAAAGGAAATGATCTGACCAATATTTCAAATGACTGGTATATCAGTAGTTCACGACATTACTTGTCTCAGAATAGAATCGTTAGAAAGGTGCTTGCTTTAGAAAGGATCTTGATTTAGATAGGCTTTGTGAGGATACAGTTTATTCATTTGTCCACCCACTCAAGAATATTTTGTGTACAAAATATTCTTAGAGTCCCTATGTTCTTGAGCGGCTTAGCTTAAGGAAACACTTTGTCTTACGAGCTTCATATGGAAGTCTAGCGCTGTCCTCGGTAGCATGCACTCAAGGCGTTTAAGAATTTAGGGCTCAGCTATTCAAGAAATTTTCATGTGCATTTCCCAGGGCAATCCAATCACTGGAAGAAGTCAACTTCTAAGTATTATATAGCATCTAAGACAGACTTTCCCCAGGGTAGCAATTCAGTGAGATGTCAGGCGTAAGTAAAGACAATCTCTAAAACGGGAACAACAATCCCGTGAGGTAGGTATTATTTTCCCTTTTTTGGTAATGGAAAAATAGAGGCTCAAATTTAAACAGCAATTAAATGGCAGAGACAGTTGATGTCCAAAGTCCGTTTTTGTCCCAAATCATACATTTTACTACACCTCATTGCTTCATAAATGTTTCCGGTTCTTTCTTAGGCTGTGAGATAAAAGGCAGTGTGTAAAAATTCATCCTTGGAGAAATGCCATGCAATTTTTTTAATTCTCATACCTGTGACTAGGAGTCTGGGTGACAGTAGTGGAATGATGAGCTGTTGAGGTATAGTGACTGGTAGAAAAAGACGTCTCCACTTCTCTCTCAACAATATGCTCACTAGAGATGACATTTTTAGATACGTATTGCTGGAGGAACAAAGAGACACAACTTGAAGTTTCATTTAAATCAAAATACTAACATTGTCACACACAAAAATCTATTCTAGTACATATGTTTCATAATAAATTCCATTTCTCCAAACACCAGATGGCAAATCCTATCCTGGCTACTGTGGCCTTTAGATTCAATGAATGGAGTTAATAAATTACTCTTTGGTTGTGCACACAATGTAGGTCCTATAATCACAACTACATATTATCAGAAACAGATATATTTCCTTGATTTTGTTTCTCATTGATAACTTGACTAGAATTCAATACAAATATCTACCCAATATTCATTTTTGTCATGGTTGTTGCAAGAAGACTTAACAGATACTTGAGTGAAACAAAATCACGGAGATGTTTTGTCTTATTTCAAATTTCAAGTCAGTAGAAGAATTTTTTTAAATCTCTATATTTTCGATTACCTTTTTCTTTCAATTTCCCAGTGGCCATGTTGCCTTAATGATACCAGTGAAATTTTTACCTTGCCGTCAGTGGTAAGACTAACAAGACTAGTGAGAGATTTGAAGGATTTACAGCAATTGTCAAGGTCTTGACAAAGCACATAATATCTTGACAAAGCACATAATATAGAGAGGGCCTGTATACGGTGCAAGTAGACTCTATTTATTTTCATCACCAAATCACAGTAGCTATTACTGCCTTCTATCAGTGAGAGAGGCGCATTTTGAAGTTGTGTTTTAAATACTGTTAGTATTTATACTAAATTGAGTTAGATCACAGGAAAAGGCATGGAAAGAAATACTCCTAGATGAAACAGGACACTTCATAATCTGATGGGCTGTGGACTCTAAAAGAACCTGATATATTCATGGAAACCTCAAATATATACAACTTGAAACTCTAGCTGGTTCTCTTAGTGGAAAGGCTATTTCATGAGGATCTTTCTGGGATGTACAGCTAGCTTGCTTTAGGGGAAAGATGATGATGTCATACATAATGGGCTATGTATAGTCTGTGTACCATTTCACTCTTGCTCCTTGGAAGAAAATGTAAGTTCAGTGAATCTAATGAAAATAATATTTGACAATTATTGAACACTCACTAAATGCCTCTGGGCCCAGTGTTTCATATAGATTATCTTATTTAATGCTCACAAGAATTTTCTGAAGTAGGTATATTATTTTTAGGCCTGTTTTCATAATGAAGAAATAGGGTCTAGAAAGGTTAAAGCTTAAAGTCACACAGGTTGAACCATAAATGGAATCCAGGCAGACATTCTGCCTCCTCTTTATTACAGCATGCATAGTGGCAGGTTATAGAGGTGTCTGTAGGGAATGCATTTATCAACTATGCAGAACATTCTAATCAACACTATAGAGGGAGGAAGGCAGCACAATATGTTAAGATATTAGCACCCGACTCTAACAGTCTCCTGAAGGTCTCTGCTACAAGACTTGCTGGTGATTCAGTAACTGCCAACTCTGATAATATATTTGGGTCTATGATATATTTGCTCCACACAAAATATACCTTTTCCTATAGGATAGAAAATGGTACTGCAATATAATCTTTAAGCTATGCTTATAAAAAGCCAAACATCAGGGGCTGGCCCCATGGCCGAGTGGTTAAGTTCACGCGCTCCGCTGCAGGCAGCCCAGTGTTTCGTTGGTTCGAATCCTGGGCGCGGGCATGGCACTGCTCATCAAACCACGCTGAGGCAGTGTCCCACATGCCACAACTAGAAGGACCCACAACGAAGAATATACAACTATGTACCGGGGGGCTTTGGGGAGAACAAGGAAAAAATAAAATCTTAAAAAAAAAAAAAAAAAAAAAAAGCCAAACATCAGAGGGAAATGAAGCAAACAAGAAGAATTACCATGGAAGAGGAAGAGCAAGACTCTAAAACCCAGGGAAGCGGAGTCTAGCCCTGGCCCTTATCTACAAAAAACAGGAGGTTTGGAAGATGACATCTAAAGACTCTCCAGAATCTAATACTCTATGACCTAGTTATATTTAAAAGCCAAGTGCTTGGTAAATTTTAAACAAAATACTTAAATGATTAAGGATCTATTGCATCTGGAGGGTTTGGCATAATGTAGAAAGAGTCAGGGAATAAGAAAGCATCATGTTGTTCCAGTTTTGCTACTGAGAGGCAAGCTTGATAAGACACTTGACCTTTCCACGCCCTAATTTCTTTCTTTGAAAATCAGTAAATCATCAGGCACTGTGAATTGCCTCTAATAAAAATCACTCTAAAGCCCTTAGCTCAGTTATCAGTACTAATCAGTTAGAGATCGGAGGAATCTTCATTTCCAAATTATAAAAAATAAAATATTTGCTTCTGATTCTTGTATCATTAATTTTATTATTTCTCTTTCTGTTTTTCTTTTCTTTCTTTCAGCTCTGACCTGCCTGCAGAATGAATCCAACATTATTGTTCCAACCCCTTAATGAACACTTCATAAGAGGAAATGTGCTAGTTTTGCAGTAACCAAATCCACTTTGAAAAATGTTCCCATTATTTTCTCCTGGCGAAACCCTGGATTCCAGGAAGCCATGGTGATTAACGGCAGCAGCTAAGAGCCGAAGAGCTTTGGGAAATACACTTCAAGGTGCCTGAACAGGGGAGAGATGCTCAGCGTTTCCACTGGCTGGAGTCAACATACATTCACCAGCTGGACGTTCTCGGGGGGTGGATTAGGGTGGTGAGGCCCGTTAGCTATGTTCACCATGTTGTTCCGTTCAGACCGAAGACTCTGCCGAAGCCGGTCATGAAGCTTTTTCCGCTGTTTCCTGGATATGAAAAAGGAAGCATTTATTTTTTTCTATTATTTACGTTTCTTAGTACAGTCAATTCTTTATTCTACCAACATGTAACTCAGGCAGTGAATTGGCGGTGAGGGAGGGGAGGGAGGCGTGCCACTCCATCTCAGAATCTGCCTAGGGGCAGCAGCGGAATCATACATTCTTAGCAAACAGATTTAAGAAGCTGGACGGGATTCTTACAGAAATCTAAGTGGACTGCTGAGAGAGCAGAAAAAAAGAGGAGAAGATGAGATAAGTCAAGTTGATATTTGACTAAAATCCCAACTTTCCTAATCGATCCATCTTTGCCTAAGTCTTATAGATGGTCATTTGTCTTAGGTAACAATTTGTGCTGTGCAATTGATAAGGCTGATTTCATTTATGGCTTGCCTGTGTGTCTCTTAAGAAAATGCAGTTTGTTTTGAATCTGTACATTATACGTAGATGTGGCATATGGCACTGTACATGAGTGAAGATATATTCATATTTTGCCAGTAGATTTTGGCACAACTGTAACATGATCCTACTCAAGTAACATCTTTTTGTATACCTACTTAATGAATATTGAAATATTGAGATCGAATCTCATAAGTCTCATAAGGTGGATTCCATGAAGTCTTCTCTCTATCACTTACTCAATTCTGGCAACACGTTCAATCCTGGGGTATTAAGAAAACACCATCCCTGCCCTTGATTTTATGGTATAAAAGCATACTGTCTTTGCTTCTCAATGCAACATTCAGATCACAATAATATTCCCAGGGCTAGTTTTGGGAAGAGAGTTTATGTGTTAAAGCAACAAAACAAAACAAACTTAATTAACATTATTTCAGACTTGAAGTGGAAGTTCTATGTAACGGAGAAAAGCTAAGGGAATTCTTGTCATACAGTAATTGCATTTGCTAATATGGACCCAGCTTAAAAGACCAAACAGAGGGAACACAAATCTGTTTTAATGTTTTCTCTTTTATTCTTTCAAAGCAAGTTTTGTTTGATTTTTCTCCCATGAGATTCCTTTTGTACATCTCACACTTTGAGAGCATTTGAAGTGATAACCTAATTAGATGGGATTGAAAAAGAATCGCTATACGTTTAGAAAACTGCATTTCAAACACCACCCAGAGTTTGCTTTCTCTCTTAAGTCTGAGTGCACTTGGACACGGCCTCAGCAGCAACATGACAAGCACACCTTTCGGCACCTACCACCTTCCTCCCAGGATGTGGTGCTCGCACCCACATCCACAGGTGCATGCGTGCGTCCATCCACATACAAGCCTGTCCCTCCAACCCTTTCTTCAGTCATGGGGCTGTGATCACTTATCAGAAGTTGTCTAACACATCACACAAATAGGCAAAGCTTTCTAATGTACGTGATTAGGTCCTTGAAATGGATTATTCAAAAGAAAAAATAAGGAGAAAAGTCTCCCAGGGGCCCCTCCCCAGCTTTTTTTCCAGGCTAGGCTGCAGAGCCTGGTTTCCGCAAAGCCCCTAGCTGGCTAAGCCATCTGCGCGCTAAGGAGAGAGAAGGCATGGAGGGAGAAGGTTTACTTGGTTTTGCAGTAGGCCACCACACACATGATGCCAACCACAAGCAGGGCGATGCAGATGCCAGTGATGGTCAGCACTCTCTTCTGGTAGAGCTCCTCCGCTTCTGGAAAGGCATGAGAACAGATGTCACCAAAGGTCCCTTATACTTGCCAGGGCTTACAACTGAACAGTTGGCATGCTGCATGGCATTGTCCATGTTCACAAGAAAATAAATAGGTGACAATTCATTACTTTTGTAGACATACTTAAGGTACAGCATACTCTGCACTACACTTTGGGCATAAACAGCAAAGCCAGCTGGGACCATTTACGATAAAAATATTATACTATAAAATTACTTTAACTATAAGCTATAGATATATACGCATTAAACTGGTGAATCGTAAACATTAATTATAAAATAACTATTTGGTTAAAAGTGTAGTTTTCATTTTTAAAAAAAACCTCTTGCAAAGACAACAGGAATCAATGCCAATCAAAGGAGCCGGAATTGACCCTCCCCTCCCCCATCCTCTCTTCTTTCCTCGCCCAGACTCTGGATTTCCCAGCTATTTTATATTCCGGCGGTCTTTACAAAGAGCCATTTCTAACTTAAAAAAAATAAATAAATTCAAAGACATTTGCAAACATGAGCTTGACTTGTAGTTAGGTAGGAAATTGAATCAGTATCCCTAAGGTGAACAGCCAAATTTGAACATAAGCGATACAATGTGGAGTAACAGGGCACTGTATCAGAGAAAAGACAACATGATGGGTCGGGTAGTCCTGGGCCAAGATGAAGATTTGTCCTTTGAGGGACAATTATTAACACTTCACCAATTGTAAGTAGAGACCTAATTTATCTGTATATACAAACTACCAGCACAAATGATTAGTGATTTGGAATAGATTGTACATTCCTGCATTGGCCAGCTTGGCAAACTGGCTAATATAGGTTACACTAAGAGAGGATGACACGCAGAACTTTGAATTAAAGGTACTGCGCTGCTCTACATGCAACCAGTCTCTTATTATTGGAGTCTTTCTATTTGCAAATCAGTCTTTTGGGGGGATAACTTGATGTCATTATTGTAGGTCAGGTTCTTAACAAGATGGGCTGATTTAATGGTAAACCCGATCCCTTAGGAACGGAGCTTCTGATCGGTCTAATTACACTAGGTGGCAGATATTCGCAGGTTCAACTGGTGCATAATAAGCAGCGTAAACTGTACTTGCTATTGTGATTAATAAACTGGTCAAGAACTAGGGAATATTATACAAATGAAGGTCTCTTATCTGGACATCAACATGAGACCTTATAGAACATTTTCAGTTTACATTTTCATCCCAGCAACCACACCTTTTTCTCTATTGAGAGCGAGCAAGTTGCAGGAAATTTTCTTGAAATGAAAAAGTGCGATTTAATTTCTATGATACAGTAGACCTTATCATTAAACAAAACATTTCCTACAAGCCAAGCCCATGGTAATCAAATTCCAGTTAACAGGTCAGGAACATTGTCAAATCAAATTAATATAGCACTGATTATTAACAGGAGGAGGAGAATTGAAGGCAGTGGGTAAAAGACTAGAATGCTGCGGAGATTATACAAAAACAAACCAAAAGGGTGGAAGTGGAAAGGAAAAACAAACCAAAAGGACAGACAGACTGACAGAATGACAGAGAGAGGGAGGAAGTCAGGTAGGACGGAAAACAAGGTTAAAAGTGAAGGAGCCATCTGAAGTCCCTGGCACAGCATGCCTAATACTAAGGGAGGAAAAATAAATAACAGAAAACCAGAGGGAGGAAATGCTTGGGTGGAAGAAAGGTGGATGCAAAGTTGGAAGGGTTCCTCCATACAGCATAACTCCTAACCTAGGCTGGCGGTCACATGGAAGCCACAATTAGAAAGCAAAGCAGCTGGTACATTGCAGTGAAACAATGAACCAGGAGGCAGAGTGGTGTCACATAGTTTTGTGCCGCAAAAGTCAAATGAGGACATGGAACGTGAATGCTGATATGTTAATTGCTTGTGTCTGCTGCCTCCCCTCCCCCATAGCCACAGGACAGGGAATTAAATTTTACGAGGTGTTAATCTGTGAGCTGGAGGCTCCTCCTTGACCTGGGATTCTATCAGTTTTTAGCATATATGTCTAAGAAGCAGAGGCATCACCCGGCTGGTCCTTCTCCATGGACCAAGATGCAAAGCAGGGCTCCTTCAGCTGTCATAAGTTGGTTAAGAAACAGTAGTTTAAAAGTATTATTGCCAAGATAATGAGGACTTTGCTTTACTGTGTCTTCTTTCACTGACTAATTTTTCTCCTTTTAAAACAGTAAGAGTTTGGTAGTGCTGACATCTTAACATTCTATCTTTAGAAAAACCCGGGAAATTACTTCTGCGAACTACAAAAATGGGACCTAACCAAGGAGGAAAGGGGGAAAAGGCATCATGCATACTCTCAGGGATTCTTTTGACAAGTTTTTTTGGTATTGTTAATTATAAAAAAATAGACTGAGGTTTGTGAACAAATGGTGTACGATGACTCGCCCGTTCTTCCTGTGTTATGTAGGAAGACACACATTTCCCAGTAAAACCAGTCATGGAAATAAAAAGACAGCCTAATAAAGGTCAAAGCGTAAAGCAGAAGTGCTAAGATGAACCAATTAAAGCCAAGGTCCATAGAATACAGATGTGGGATGAGGAGTCTGTATTCACATCAGCATTTATTAAATGTGTTCAATGTTTCTCACCTAAGTTTCTATTTGATTTTACAGTGGTTGACTAGATCAGGTGATGTCCACAATATGAATGTGCTCAAAGAGAAATACTTGATGACCAATAATATTTTTTATCCTTATTTTCTCCTAGTGTGATAGGGTCAATAGGGCAAGAGCAGATTAGAGACAGCACTGAAAAGAAGAATACCTCAGTCCAGTTGGCAGACCTGCATCAATGAGTGGAAATGCTTTTGAGTAGAGACTCTGTGGTTTGGCTAGACGCATTGAAGCGAATCACATCAAGCACGTTTTGCAGTCTGATCTGGCCAAGGCCAAGAGACAGAGGCCTTTTCCTTCTCAGTTTTAATTGACCTTTAAGGTCTGATTTTCCTTAAGGATGCAACGTTCTGGCTTAGGGCACTGGCTGCCGTGGGACTGTGGAGCCTGTGGAAGGTTTGCCTTTAAGAGGTGCAGTTACCAGCAAAGTGTGGCTTTACTAATCCTTAAGATCTTACTGAAGGAGAAGTCTATCTGCACCATCCCTTACCCTCCTTCACTGTTTGGGAATAGAAATATTAAATTCTATAGTCAGAACATAAAGCAATAAAGCAGGGAATATGCTGTTAGGGAGAAGGGGGGAGGTGATGGTAGAATTTTTTTCTTCCCTGCAGGAAAGGCCAATAAGCCATTTTAGAAGTGGAACAATTTTTATCTCAAGGGAAGCAACCTGAATAGATTACTCCCCTCTCGTAGATGACGTGCCACCCATGCTTCTCACTCTTGAGAGATGTCCTCAGATGTGCAAAGGCCCATTCAGATAAATAGGGGTTTTCCCATCAAATGAATAGTTTTCTCTTGAATTTTTTTGGCAGAATGGGCAATTAATTGAGTTTCTATCCCTGTAACTGCTACAGCTTGCAACAGCTTCATTTTCCACAAACGATGGAGCATTAGGTGTAGGCTGTGATGTTATCCTCCAAAAGAAAGCATCACCTGTAAGGTGCTCTCGCTGCATGATGTCTCTGTCACCACCCGGATGGGGATCAGCTATTCTATTAATCAGGATATTGCTTGGTTGACCCACGACCACCTTCGACCCACCTGTATGCAGGGTTCAGGAAGCCCGGGGGCGGGGGGGGGGGCGGTGCTGCATTATGGAGCATCTAGGAAGATAGCATGGCTTCCCCCTCCTTCGAAGACATCATTTCTCCCAACTATTTAGCATGACAGCCTTCAAAAGCAGTATGCCCCAAATTCATAGCTCACAGGAGATATTTTATGTTTACAGTGTGAAAATTCCATTTGATTACTTGTCTGGATAATCTTAGTGACTCAAGTTTAATTCCATTAGCACTAGAATTTCCACCTAAAATAGCACGAGGCTTATTTCTTTCTGTTTTCTATTTCCTTGCTCATAAGATAATGAAGTTGACTAGAGTAGTGCTTGAATATCTCCAGAAGATCAGAGTAACTCAAAGTCTGTGCATATAATATTGCGTTGCAATGTAAGGGCTGTGTTACTATATTAGATAGAAAATAGTGATTTTTAAACTGTATGTCAAACTTGAGATGTAGTGTGTGTTTAAGCTGATGCACTTAAAGCTTCTTTTGTTTTCAGGCCCGTTTTGGTTCGTCCTGTAGCCTTCTGCATCATTCCAACTTACCCCAGCTCTGAAATAACGGCATGGCCAGATCCAATCAAGGAACATGGGATATATGTGAATTTGCAGCAGGTGACGTGATTTTAAACTCTAAATGAGGCTTGGGAATCTAAAAGTTGCTGCACTCAGTAACAATTCAGTAAACTAATCATAGATTGAAAGCGGAGAAATCATTGTTATAGCTGTATGATCCCTTCTAAAGAAAAAGGAAATTAGTTAGGAACTGAAAGGTAAGAGTAGGAAGGGAAGAGATTTCAGCTCATAGGCTCTAAATTCTGCAGGCTAAAAGGAATGATGATTGGTCCATACCCATAAATTCAATCCCAAGATGCTCTGCCAATGCAGAAAGTTGACAAAAAAAGAAAGAAAGGGAAAAAGTTTCAGAAAAGAGCAATACACTGCACTCCAAAACACATTACACACGACTATTATGGCTCTCTGTGCGTGCACATTGAACAGGACAAATGGGTGGTTAACGAAGCAGTGCTCAGGTACGCCTCCAAGAGTCCACAGAGGGAACTTCTCTTTTAAGAGGTGTGCAAATACCAGCACACTATGTCTTTATTAACCCTTAAAAGATCTTACTGAGGGAGAAGTTGTGTAGCTGAGCCATCCTCTATGCTACTTCACTGTTTGGGAATAGAACTATCATATTTATAATCAAAAAAGGCATTTGGTATTATTTCATTCATCTCTTTTTCAAAGGCAGAAGCAACGTTCCAGGGAGTGAAATTTTTTTACCCAAAGACACAGTGGCAGAGCCAGGAGTAGAAGCCAAGAGGATAGGGATTTGGTCTGAAAATTTTATCCTGTTGGTACATTTTCCATCGTTTGTGGGTAGTTAACCTCTAATATTTCTTGTTGCTTTGGTTATTTTTTTAAAAAATGTATCTCCTTCTCTTCTCCTAACCTTCCACTTTCTCTACCACTTACATGACAGATTCCACTCACAGAAAAAAATAAATGCTTCTGCTCAAAAAACCAGACAGGGCATTAGGACACCAGACCCTGCTTCCAGTTTTTTCATATAATTCCTGTGTGGCACAGGATAACTTTCGATGCCTTGCTTTTTCAGATTAAAAAAAAATGTGTGTGTGGGGGGAATACAATCCTGGGGTCTTCAGTTAATTTAATTTATGACTTCCTCAAGTAACAGAAAGCCGATTAGATGATGACTCCACAGTGCTGAGCTCTGATACCCAGAGGAGAGCCGACAGGCACAGGAAGCCGGAGGGCCTGCAGGGCTGCCCAGGCAAGGGGACTCAAAGGTGTGTGGCCACGGCCAGCAGTCCTGGCAGATCTGATGCAGAGGCACCAGGATGGCAGGACTATAGAACCTGCATGGGCTCAGCAAGAAATGGGGAAAATGGGGCAAAGAAGAAAAACCTCCAGAAATGACAACTCCTACTCTTGAAACAAAAATTGTAATCAAGTTTCATTGACTGGGACCCTTTAGGACTTATTTGTGTGTGCGTGGTGGAGAGGCAGGCGGGCAGGAGGGGCAGAATGAAAACAGCGAGGTTTGGGGATACACATTTCTTCTCTTGATCACTGGTTAGAGAGATACCAAGGTGGTCCAAAAATATGACAAGGCATCTCTTAAGTCTGAAAACATGCAGTGGAGGCGTATTCCTCTTACAAAAACATCAGTTTGGTCATGGACAAAGCACCTCTTATAGAGAGGGGAAAGGAGGAGGTAAGTGTGTGGAGTTGTCCTGGTTTCAGGTCCTGCCTCTGCCATTTACCTGTTCAGCGACTTTAGACAAGTTAATCTCTCATTGACAAAATGCTTATGATCGTAACATGTGCCTCACCGGGCAACCCCGTGGGATAAAGGAGCCATGAAATATGTTGGCCAACAGCAGAAGGGAGCTTGGAAAACAGACACATCTGGAGATTTATCTTGGGCCAGTAACTGCATGTAGGTTTACTTTTGACTAATTTCATGGCCAGAAAAACTCTGAAAGCTCCTGGGATATATCACAAATTTAGACTTCAAAAACTTGCCACCTCTTACAGAAATGAAGTTTTCCAGATTAGAAAAAACATAGCAAATAGTACATCAAGTAACAATGGTAATGAGAGGCACTATATATAACAGAGAGTTCCCTCTGCCTTGGGTCCAGGGTACTCAGGCAAATAATCCAAATTTATAAATTATAAGCCAGAGGATATAGGGTTAATTTGGTTGCACAATGTTCATAGCAAAATAACAATTTATTCAAACCCAAATGAATTTTTCTTGCCTCTGTGCAACACTCAATTTGACAAATTGACATTTTTTTTCCCATTTGTTTCTTTCATATGACCTTTGGAACATCAAGGTACAAAAATTCATTTTCCAAGGAAGTGACACTAAATTTCCTTACACATTTCCATGAGGCTATGACTCAATTTTTCTCCCCAGAACTCCTTTCATCTCTCTCCTTTTCCTCCTACCAGTCAGTAATAATTTAAGGGTTAAAGTCAAGAAATATCTACAGAAACTCTTTCCAGAGAATCATTATTTCATGCCTACGTGAACACTGCTAATGATCTACATTAGTTGCATAGAAAGCTTGGTTAAGTCTTCAATAAAATTAGTAGCATGCCCATGCATACATATTACTGCATTTACAGCTTGATAGGTAAGTCTGTGAGCCTAACCATAATTTCATTTCATGGGAAGTCATTCATATCAGGCAGCTCCAATTTCAAATAATTCAAAGGGAAATTGGTACTTAAAATTGGAATCTCTTCTGGCCATAAGCCCTAACAAGGAAACAAGCAGAGGCAACATGCATCAGTCATTCTGGACCTGGAGCAAATACCGCTCTAATTTATTTTTACTATTGGTGGCTACAGTTCTTTCATTGTGAGTCAAGAAAAGCAGAATACACAAACACTTTTCATTTTGTGGAGAGGTTATTACTTTCTTTCTGTTCTATTTAATCTAATGTTGGCTTAGGCTCATTATGTATCACATGCTTCCTATTGAACTTCTGCCTAGCCACTACATTTTTCAAATTAAATTAATAATTCAAAAACACAAAGGTTACTGTAAACAATTTAGTTTCCTTTTCTACATGTGACTTCCTGCTGTGCAGTAAGCAATATAAAAAATTAATTTAAATCTAAGTCTTCAGAAACTATTAAATATTGACTCACTAATCCTTTGCTTTAGGATTTTGTAATTGTTTGAAGAAAACTGATTAACCTGTAGGTTAATTTAAATTTTTAATCATGTTAAGAGAAAAGAACAATAAAACAAGTTTCTTTTACCAAAATTATACATACATGCAATTATGGCTTCTGGTAAAGTTTGAAGACATTCAGGATTTTACTCTTTAAGATCTTGGGCCTTTTTATGCAAATAACCTCAAAGACATATGTATAGTCTTGACTTTCTGCACCTCTGAGATTTCTAAAAGAGTTCGGTCAATGCCAGTTCTAAAGGGGAGTAATTTAGTGTCCGAATTTTAATTAATTTTTGACTTACCTTTACAAATGTAGATACCTTTTTTCACATATACCAATCCATATTGAGCCCTTCGAAATGTAATAGGAGACTCTCTCCTTACTCTCAAGTTTCCATGTGCACAAGAGCACACTCACTCACACACACACACACACACAGAGTAAAATCTCACTAACGCGCGGTTGGAATTTATGAAAATTTTGTCACAGATTGAATGTGCCTTTATTCTACTCTCAGCAAGATATACATGTTTGGTAAACAAATTAATAACTTCAATGGGTTTTAAAGCATTTAGAAATCCACAATTTATGCACTAATAACCTATGATTCAAAATTACTTTTAAGAATATCTGCAAAGTTTACTCATTCTTGAACATGCCTAAAAGCTCTAAAACAGTACTCTGAAATGTTCCATAATTTGGGCTATTTTATAAGTACTTCCTACTATATGTTAGTTTATATATGACAAACTTGCTCCATACTGGTTCTAACTATTGAAGCTGTGAGTACTTTTTTCCTCTCCATAAAGTCTCTAAATTGATTATGGATTGCCTTTACTCACACGCACGCACACACACACACACAAACACACAAACACACAAACACACAAACACACATACCTCACATCGATGAACACAATCCTTTCAAGTAGGGATTCTGTGTCAATAGGTCAAATTTGAAGCTGACTAACCTTGACAATATTTTCCTAGAAAGTACTATAAATATGTTTTATTTCATAGCACATGGCTGCCTTCAAGAAAACCATATAAAATATACATTTGTTCCTTTCTTTCGTATTTTAAATCAGCTTTTATAAATCAATAAATGTCCCATAGAACACTCACCAGAAAAATTGCACCAAATCCTAATAATGTAAGTTACGTGTTTGTAAACATTTAAAAAATTTTACATTCTTTTAGAATGCTATTTTTCAACTGAAAATGTGGTTTGCTAAGTTGAAAAATATTTTTCTTTGAAGCTGGGGAATATCTTTTCTTTTAAGATTTATGTTTATGTGTTTCAGACTTTATGAACACAAACAAAATATTAAATTTTAAACAACCACTGTGGCAACGTTTTTCATCCTCTGTGCTGCCTCTGTTGCTACTTGAATATAAGGTTCTGAGAGCAGCAAAAATTTATTTCCCTGCTTTCTATGTGGGGGGCTGCAGAAATAAAAATTGAGAATTTAAGACATAGAGGTAAGAAAATTAACTGTGGGCAAGACAACTTTGGAAAGTACTTTCTGATTAGAAGCTCTTGCTTTTCCAGACATGAGGCAGCAGAGATGCACAGTCATTACAGATTCTGTTCATGAACGTGCTTCTTATCAATCTTTGTTAAATCAGGTTAAATATGAATGCTGCTTTCCTGGATGTCTTCCAAAAAGTGCCACTGCTTACTAAAAAAATTATTTAAGGAATCACACTCTGATTAAATACATAGGAGCTATTTTTAAATGATATGAAAGAGAAAATGGTCTAAAAGAGAAGTTGAAAACATTTTCTCTGGTTACTGTCAGATCTAACTGCATTATTATTTTGGAAACTATCTTTATTTTTTAATGCTTTTCTCTCTATAGCGCAGCAATATCGCCTTCCGTGCACAAGGAAACTACATAACATCAAAAGATCAAGTATAATGCAAATGTTGAGAATTCTCCTTAAATTCTAAAATACAATTTCATTGTATTTATACAGTCACATTGATTTGCTAAATCTATGCTATTTGAATACAAAGACACATTTCTAAAAGGAATGGATTTAATATATTAAGTAAAAATCTATTATTTCCCTTCTATTTTTACTCTCCAACTTATCCACATTTCAAAAATTAATCTACAGTTATGGACGAAAAATTCTGCCCACTAAATGCATACTATTTAAAGACATGTGAACAAAGTGAAGACTGTGTTTGAAAATTTAGCAATGGCAATTTTCCAATTCTTCACAACAGGAAATGGCCTATAACATAATCTTTGATATGTAGCCTATGTAAATACATAATAAGTTCCACCTTGCTAAATAAACCATTGAATGTTATGCGTCTAATCTCCACATAATGCGTATGGAATTTATTCTCCATGACTGATAAAATGAGGTACAGAACCTTATTCTTTATATGCATCTGAATAAGGGGAAATCTCTGATTCTTGCCCCCAAATGATCAGCTCGTATCACTGTTTCTTGTGTTACATGAATTTACACTGTAATAAGCCATGTGAAACATTTTTCAGGGTGAGTAATTGACAATCTAAATCAGAGGTTGACAAATCCAGCCCACTGGCTGCTTTTATAAATAAAGTTTTAATAGCACACAGTCGTGTTCGTCAGTTCATGCAGTGCCTATGGCTGCTTTTGTGCAACAATGGCAGAGTTGAGTAGTTATGACAATGATGGTATCACTTGAAAACACTAAAGTATTTACTATCTGATCTTTTATAGAAAAAAATTAGTCAACCTTTGATCTAAATGGGTGACTATATGGAATCCATTTTAATATAATGCTTTGAAAGCTCCAGAATTAAAAGTTATAGTCCCAGCTCATAAGAGAAGGACAAATATATAGTTTAGTTATCCATGCAATTATATACAATGTGAATTGGGTCTTTTAGGGATGATGATCCAAACTGCATAAAGCCATAGAAATCCATCCAAATTTCCCAGTTCTATGTATCTAAAAATATATATCTAGAACTGTTAAATTTCAAACTGAATATTTTTAAAAAACTGTTTTCTCCTAAAATTATCATTGAAACTGGCATAAAGAAATGCTAACATAAATAAATGATTAAACTAGTCCTGAATCACTTGTTTCCTAAGCAACATAAACAGAAGCCAGGCTATCTCAATTGCTGTGAACTGTTTGTTTTTAATTTTCCTACTCAGTGTTTTATTTTATACCTAAATGAAAACTGTTTGGTTAATGAAGAGAAACATCTGAACTCTTTTTATTTATGTTTATTTGCTATAAATAACACATTCTGCACCAAAATTAACTTACCATCATTTCAAGTGCGTATTGGTTACAATTTAGCAACATCCTTTCCAGGATGTTGTCATTTTATAAAGAAGATGAACTCTTCAGTGGAATGCTTTTATTTTATCAATAAAACTGAGACTTTTAAATGCCTTTATTATAATTGCACTGCTTGATATTGACTATCATTTTGTATCACATTATTCAATATCAATTTCAGAAACATCCGGGGCCTCACACACCTATCAGTGTCTCAGAGCCAACTAGTCACGAACAGAGGAAGTAATACAATCGCTTTTGTTAATGTTCTCATGCGACAGGCAGAGGCAGTCAATGTTAGACCTGGTAAAACACATCTAGCTCTAGGTGAAATCTGAGGGGAGATGCAGCAACAAGAAAGCAGCACCGACTGAGCATGCTCCTATTCAGGCAGAGACAGAAAGGGACTGGACGTACTGTAGAAGCTGGCCATTACGTAGTTTTGGCAGCGATCACCAGTAAACTCATTTGGGCACCTGAGAGAAGAAACAAAAAACAATGGTAGAAAAAACAGAGAAAAAGAGAAGAGGTGAATATATGCTAGAAAGAAGCTCCTTCAGTGTCATTTGACTGAACTTGGTGAGTTCACCCTCAGGAACTGAGTCTTTGTCCTAATCATGGCTTTCAGACTCTGGCATGCCGCCCAAAGGGTTAAAAATTTGAATAAAATTTAGTCTTAGGTTTTGTGTGAAAGATCCCAGCATTTTAAGTGACTGCTTTCTTTCAAAGGGAGCCACTTAAAATTAAATCTGACATTTTTTCCATCTCATTTTCCATTTGACAGCTTTGGTCAAAAATGTTGGAAGGAAATGGATTTCTTTTGGTTGGCCTGCCTGCTATGGTTGCCAGCATCACTGGCCATCCTCATGGGTCATTCTTTCAAATTTACGACCTTTGGGGCCCATGTTGAGCAACAGTTAAACAAGGTCACATTCAGTGGGTTTATGCCCGAGTGGTTAAACCATAATTAGAACAAAAGGAATCAGTTACAACTGAGCTGTAAAAACACCAAGTGGCAGTGACTGTTGCTGTAGTTTGGGGGAAAAAGCGAATTTCAGATTATTTTAACATACTTTCTTGGTTTTGGACTTTCATGGGCACATTCTCAGTACATCTTGCTCCAGTGAATCCAGGTTGGCACCTAAAGGGCAAAAATGTGATAAGCAATAGAACGCTAAAGACACTGAACTTTCAGACTGGCAATTTCCTCCTATGGCATATGGAGATTCCTACAAATGACCTGGTGACTGAACAACACACGGAAAAGGAAAAGACAAAAACATGTACAAAACTTTGTCCCATGAACACTGCGGGGTATCTATTTTTGTGGTTGTTGTTTGCTTCAGTCTTCATAAGGTCAGTTGACTGAAATTTAACTAGAGTGAGGTGGAAAAGTTGAATAGGGGAGCAAAGGACTGGGCAGCAGAGCCATTTCCCCTTTGGCATTTCCTTATTTGCTACTGATCACTGACTCTCACTACTGGTTTTGGTAAGAGCTTCCATGGTTCCATCCAGAACCTTATTCAAAATGATTCTGAGCTTTTTCTTTTATAGACAATGTCAGACTTATTTCGTAGGTATTTTTATAAGTTATGAGTTAAATCATCAAACTACAATAGAAGTCAGGCATGTTCACACTCCAGTCATTACTGATGAGAAAAACTACTTTCTCTGTTCTGTTTTCTTTTTTAAAGATTTTACAAATTAGGTCTTGTTTTTAATGTTGAAAGACAGAAAGAGGCCGATTTTTATTAATACATATTTCACTTCATGCAATTTTCCCAAATTGGAGACAAATACATTTTTCAAATTTAAACAGTTATTCCTCTACAATACTACCTAATAGACGCCATTCTGTATTTAAGGTAAAACTATTTTGAAAAGGTACAAAATTTACATTTTATTCACTCACATACATTTACCTATCAAAGTTATAGAATGTTGATAGAATATTGCTTTTAAGGTCATGCAATGGGGCTGTGCCTAAATATGGAAGTCCTTTAAAATTACTCTTTTTGTTGCTGTCACTCCAGCAACTAAAGCATTTCAGATTAGATTCATTTTACCCAATATCATGCTGCAATAAATAGGGCCATAGAAAGGTTCTAGGAAGCAAATATACTTACAGATGCTCAACATCCATAGCCATGATTATTATTAATAGTGCATCTATACCATAACTATCATGCAAAGCATCTAAGATAATTTAGTTCTGATAACACATATCTTATGATTTATACACAACCCTTTCTCCTCCAGAGTAAATAAGAATAAACACTATCTTTTTGGCATCAAAGAGATGTGACTAAAACTATTCATTTTTACTAACATATGGGTTTTTTTTTTTCATTTCCCTTAAAGCCAAATTCAATGTCAAAAAGCATGGACTGCACCGATTTCATGAAGAATAGCCTGCAAGATAAAATACTAGCAAGTTCCAGATTTTTAGGGCCATGAGTACTTGTATAAAGTTATAGTATAATTATGATCATCCATAATAATATCAACAATCTTAACAAACATCTTGTATTGATACAGCCCTTTCGAACTCTTCAAAAACACTTTTATACAAATGAACTGGTTGTTTTTGCTGCAATGAATAGAGGAAGATTTACCTAGAAAAATACAGAAATAAGAACTACAATCTGCGAGGTTGGATCATTTCTCATAAAGATGTCACTCTACATGCTTCAATAAGGATATCTTCACGGATATATAAGAAAAATACATGGAAACTTGTCTTCAACATAATTTATTTGGCAAAATAATTTCTGAAGTAAATGGAATTGTGTGTTTGTGAACCAGGACTATAAATCCATACAGACATATTCTATAATTAAGCAAGTAATTCCAGAATTAAGGATATATTCTATAATGACCATTTCACCTTACCTGTTTGCATTTTTGATAAAAATTAAAATTCTCATATTGATCATGTAATAATCCACTTGTTTCATACAGAGAACATGGTATAATATATGTGAATATCACGTGTGTGTGTGTATGAGAGAGAGAGAGAAAAAGAGCCACTTGAGGCAAGAAACGTACTTATGAAAATCATGAAATTAACAAATAGCTGAAGAATCATGAGCCCCTTAAAAGAAGGAATGCATTTATTGAGAAATTGTCATTTATGCATCTTAGATGCCACTTTAAAGATCAGAGGGCACAGGACAACTAGATAGAGGGGGTCAAAAATCTCAATCAATTTTCTAATTAGCATGAACTTTTAAAATGGTGTTTCCTAGGAAACTAGCATTATGGGATGGTGGTTTATCTCTATCATAAGATCGTATAGAATATTTGGTGAACACTAGAACTACTTAAGGTATGCCAATCCCCATCAGCTATATCTGAACCAGAACTATGCTTTCCCTCATGTTTATCTTCACTCAGGAGATGAACTGTCTTGGTGTAAAGCCTGATTATTGTTCAGTGTGGTCCATGGACCAACAGCACCAGCATCTCCTGGGATCTTGTTGGTGGAAATGCAGAATCTCGAGACCCAGACCAGAACTACCAAATAAGAATCTGGATTTTAACAAGATTCCCAAGAGATCTGTATGTATGTTAAAGTTTAAGATGTCAGGGACTCAGAAGACAGAGACTAAGGTCCTTTATCCTGGCAACACAGCATCTTGCTGCTTGGATGTGCGCAACCCATTTGGCTTCACTGGGCCTCAGTTTTCCTCAGGGATGAAATGAAGGGATTTAAGTAAGTGATTACCAAAGGTCTCCTTTACCACCAAGCTTCTGGGAATCGATGCTCATCCTAATATGTGGAATTACTGTGCAGAAACCCCGACATCATGTCCTCTGAACACATTACCAGTCAGGAAGAATTTAAGGACTTTAAAAAACATTTTTTGACGGAATAGATTTTTAAGACATTCATGGAAGTAAAACAAATTGCAAATACCTATTCCTAAGCAATTCAAGTGTTCAGCAACAACAGTCATTATGTAACTTCTGTGGCCATCTGGAGTTGTTGCCAAATCAAATGGAAGGAAGTAGAAATTGATATAGTTTCTGCACAAGCAAAACTGCAGACTGCATTGATTGTGCAGACAGCATACGCAAATAAAAACCCATCTAATCTATAAGATCTGATTAAATTCTATGGAATTAATTTCTATGGAATTACTTCTAAAAGAACAGGGAGACTGTCTGGCTTCCGACATATTTCTATATTAGCATTGTATATTAAGCATCCAATCTATCACCTCCCTGGGAGATAAGAATATGGTGGATTTAATCTCATTTTGAACAATATGTTTTGGCATGAGTATGAGAAAATTCCAAGAATTTTACTTCTCATAAAAATCTGTTTGAATAATAATCAAGCCCCTATTGTAGCTTCACAAATACATATACTATCTGTGCCACCGATTAGATCAGAAGATAGAAATAATTGTTTTTTATCTTAGTATTTGTTCATAACATGATAAACAACCTTCATTCTATATTTGTTCTTAATGAGATGAAAATTCACAGAGTTTTATCTGAACTTAGGCATCACTTCTTCCAACTAACCCGGACCCTGACCTCTCCATCCCCCCACTTCCACACCCTTGATGAGAATTCCTCTTTGGCTCTTGAATTGCCCCCTGTCCTGATCTCCTTCACTGCCCTTAATTATCTGTGTCATGATTATCTCTTTGTGAGGATAACGACCATATTTTGATCACTTTGTACCTCTAATGTTTAGCACAGTGCCTGGCTCATAAAAGGCTCTCATAAAATGCTTGTTAAACTCAACCTAAGACAGGATCAGACCGCAGTGTCCAATATAGAACTGTACCAAAAGAGACTTTCATACAGTCAATTGATCTGCCAAGTACAGGACAATATTGAACTTCTGGCTTTTATTTTTATAGTTTATGACAGACTCATCTGTAGACTCCTAAAAAATTTTTTTATAGGAGTTCCCAATACTCTCTTCACAGACTCCCTTCACTGAACAGAAACCTTTAACATAGCGTTTGGAATTCGGGAAAGACTCTATAACTTTTTAACAATGCCTATTATCTCAAATTTAAACCCTGTTACTGAAATATCAGTTTACCTAGTATTCAATAAAGAAGCACAATCTAGTAACCAAGACTTCCCCAGTATTAGTAAAATAAAAACTGCTCTTAATAACAACCTTAATATAAGGTGAATATCCTGATACACTTACACGTATTAGTCATAAATCCAGTATTTTGAGAGTCAGTTTAGTGGTTGGTGTATGTTTTATATTTTATTGAATAAATTATTTACCAATTTTTGGTGGAGGCTGTAGACACATTCAAAGATATTCACAACCTCTTCCCCATCCCATGAAACTTCTGGTTATTTAGGGTTGGCTAATTTTCTAAATTATTATAAATCGTTTTATTGTTTTCTAAATTTATGGTCAATTTATAAACCATCCCTAAGCATCCTTCCTCTTCTTTTCTTTATTTCTTGGTTTCTTTAATTTTTATCAGGCCCT